TATATATATATATATATATATATATATATATATATATATATGAGTCCTTCTTGATCTGCTTATCTTTAGGACTAAACAATTAATCCAAAACATATCAAGGACAGAGAAATGGCTAAAAAAATAGCATTTCAAATCATCTTTATTTTATTTAAGTATAACAAAATTCAGTTTAATCACAGCTGGTAACAGAGCTCCAAGAGACTCATTATTTCATGGAGATCATTCATAAAAGAGGCATTCAAAAGCCTAGATACGGAAATGGGAACCAGTTAGAAGTTTTAAAGTCTAGATGAGAAAAATAATTTCTACATCACATCTGAAGAAAGCAAATTCCTATAACCAGTAAAAGGTTTGTGTCAATTTAAATTAACTTATCATTTTATTAACCAAATCATATTACAGCTGAAGTCAAACTTATTCATGCAACTGACCTATCAGTTCACCCTGAAAATCTACATTTTTAAAAGGATCTCACATACAATCTACCATGAGTGAAGTAATTAACATATTTAGGGTTTAACAGAATTTTTAAGTATTCCATGTGATTCCATTTTTTTCAAAACATACATTCTCATTTAATTGAATAATACAGTGGTTACACTTTTATTACAATCTATTTCTATCTGTTATTGCCTTGCAACATATACTGTACAATTGTCAATGGCTGTAGATTAATAAACATGGTAGATGTGAAAGAATGTGATTCTCTGTAGAAACTCTTCTAAACTCAATTTACATTTTTCACATTACTTTTGGTGTGATATCAAAAGTTAGATATATCTATTCTTTGAGTTTACTGACACTCCATTGATTGCAAATACATGTTATATTTTATTTTTCCTGCTACTTACAGCCACACAGCTTTTTGTTGTCTTTTGTGGTGGATCAATGTTTGTTAATTAATGCCATTTCTTGTCTGTAAAGACTGTAGCATTCTGTAATTTGCATAAAAAGTCCCTCATTTAAAAACAAATATTTCACAGAATTATAATTGCACACCCAGCCTCACTCTCTCCCCTTCCTCTTCTGCACAGACTCCTGCTTCTCCTATGGTTACTTTGCCTAAAATAATCAGAAAAATACTTGTGTCTGGAAGAATTACTACTGAAAATTGTATGTTCTATTATCTTTACAAATATAAGCTTTAAAATTTGTGCAACACCCTATATAACAATCAACATTCATATCTAATTTATGGTCTATACTAAAAATAACATTACCAAACTGACCCTTCATTACAATAAGTATTCAACTCTATATACATACATTACTTGTCCTCCTACATATCACCAAAGCTACAAACTTTCTTTCACAAACCTAGCAATACTGGGGAAGAGGGAATACTAGCAAGAAACTATTATGGTACCAGTAACAAGATGAATGCCCACTAAAAGATAGTGAGAAATATATTCAACTTGTAGAGCAAAGTAACATACTTCATAAATATGTATATCTTTCATGCTTTAAAAAAAATGTACTTCAACAAACAGCAACTACAAAACCCACTTCTAAAGGAAAACACTACAACCATGACACTCATGGGAAACACTATTTTCTACAATGAAAAACAGGGTTTTCAGGGAAAAAAGGCCTATTACTCTGTAATACAGAGCACAAGCAAGCCTGTTTCAGGGCAGGATGAGTTTTGTTCCATTAAATGGTGGTATTACAAAGAGAGGACTTCTGTTACTTAGCAAAATCATTTCATTTCCCTTCATGGTAAACCTGGAACAAGGGAGAAAGACAGTTAGGATACAAATTATACTGTACAACTGTATGATATACAGATCTAAAAATTTAATTCAATACAAAAGTTAAGGCAATAAAAACATGATTTCAAATGGTCTAATACAAAATATTTTTTTCCAACAATGTCAATAAATATCATATCATATCATATATATCTTTATCATTAGCTAATTTACTTCCTTTACTTTCACAAGATTATTTACTTAATCCAAAGAAATAAATACCTTAGCAATCCTCTGTGAAGTCCCCGTGGTGGTGAATGGTCCTCAAAGAAGAGACCAAAACAACGACACAAAATCTTCATTCCATTGAAATCTGCCACATCATGTTCTTTGTAAGCAAGAACAAAGACTTCAGGCCTGAAAAAGAAGTTTATATTGAAAAGATGTTCTTTCAGACAAACTGTCATTAGTTAAAAAGTTTAAAGATATTCTAACAAACTGGAATTAAACAAATTTCAGCAATTGTTCAGTAATCCTAATATTTGTAATTATTATTCACATTAGGGGCAAATTTACAGGATTGACATCTATAACAATGATATGAGAGCTGAAAATGATTAGTTATTGCTTACATATGTAGAGCAAAAGTACTGTAAAAAATAGGATATTCACTCCCATACTAAACTTACAAAGAATGCATTATATACAACAAACAAAAACTATGGATTAGTTTTTTTTTTCACTAAACAGATACCTTATATTCTAGGAGGAGTGGGAGGAGGAAGGTAAAGGGGAGAATAAGAGGAGGA